TATAAGTGAATACTGTAATTATTTTTGTAAGACTGTGGCATTTGCCATAAATAAGGGCTCTCTACCCCAAACCAGCAAAGTACCAAATGTTAATGTTCTATTACAGAGACCACTTTTGTGCTTAAATGTTGAATTCTGTATTCATCTATTGCATAGGATGATAGATCTCATTAATAAAAATTGCAGTGTACAAGAACTGGTACTCTGAACTTCTTATTTTTGAGTTATTGCCCTTTATTAATTTTCATACTTTATTTTTGTCCAGGCCATTTCTCGTAAACTTTAAAAGCTATAGACTTGGAACTTTATAGGATGATAGATCTTATTGATAAGAAGTTCAGTGCATATAAACTGCTGCTCTGCATTTCTTTTTTTGAGTTATTGCCCTTTGTTAATTTTCATTTTTGTCCAGGCCATTTCTCTTAATTTATTTTGTTCACAAGGCGCACATCCGACTTGCGGAGTTCTAGTTGGATCTTCATATTACTATCAACAACAATTCTATTCACACGAAAATCTTTGATAAAAGAGATGACTTTGACTTTTGTATAGTTAATTATCCACATTTAGATGGAGACGTACCCCATGCAACATATTACGGGGTGTATGTTACCTCAGTTAATTAGATTCGCTAGAGCTTGTAGCAGCGTAAAGGAATACAACGAGCGGAATATTTTTATTACCAGCAAGCTTCTAAAACAGGGCTACCGCTAGCATAAATTACGGAAATATTTTTACAAAATTCTGGAAACAAAGTGATCCCTCGAAAGCAACAAAATAACATAAGAATTGCAGACTCGGTTTGATTGAGTCTGTACATGAGAGATAATGAATAAGTGCAACATTAACATCAACAACATGAATAAGTACTTTACAATCGTAATTTTGATTTAATTTCAAAATTCAATAGTGATTTAAAAACTCTTCTGCGACAAGGGATTAGTTAGCCTGGTTTTTCTGGCGATGTGATTTACAAACTTCGTAAGATTTTGGGTCATGGTCATGTTTCTGCTTTTTTATTTACTAAAATCATAAAACGTTTTATTAAAAAAGGTTATGACCCCACTATTTAAAGACATACTGCATGCTTAGCGTTCAACCCTTTTACAGTTGAAAACTACGCTTTCCTCTTTTGATTACATCTAACGGACCAAGTGGAAGACTATGATGGACAGTTCTTAAAGCCATTTGGGACTGAATTGTTCTACCTTGTTCGTCGGGCCCTTGGTGATTTTTTGTTGCTCTGTCTTCCTTTAGGACATTGAGTACTTTTGTTATGGTCATTGGGTTTACTTTTATATGCTTCTGCTTGATAACTTTGGTGTTTTACTTATTTAACCTTTTGTAACCATAACAACTGTCTGAATTTACTTGGCGGGGATTCATTTTATTTACACTGTCTCGTTTATAGGAATATGGTGGGGCTAAGAGTGAGGTTTGGTGCACCATTAACCGGTTTAAACTCCCCAGCATTACTTGTGCTGCTTACCGTTCCAAGGCGACGCCCCTCTGTGATTCTCAGATGTATGTCTATGTTGTTTCCTACTGTTTTGATGACACTTTTGCTTGTGACCCTTGTTGTTTTCTCGTCTACGGTAAGTATCTTCCCCTTTGCCCCTAGTTTTTATCTCTTTAATTTTTATCAGTTAAAAATTATTTATCATTTAAGTGATAAACCTGTCCGTGCTCTTCCTTGCGCCCTGTCCTGTTTTTGTTTGGGGTCCGCCTGGCTCCTTGTCACTTATTCTTGTTGCCGGGTGGTATGGAGGTTGCGTTCATTGAACGCCGCCCTTCCTAGTTGATCTTGTTTATCATATTTTTGCCAGTATATCCTGTTGAGAACTCCTCGTCTCATCTTCTATTTCAGCCATTATCAATATTCAATACAGTAAACTTCACTTATAGAGAACACGGTTATAGCGAACTTTCGGTTATAAGGAACAATTTATTTTGGCCCGAATTTTGCCCTTCTTTATTTAATATAAAAATATACGGTTATAGCGAACACGGTTATAAGGAATTATAGCTAATAAGGAACTCATTTCTTAGTCCCAATTTAGTTAAAAGTACAGAAAATTACACTTTTATAACGAACTCCAAAATATCGGCCATTCGTAAATACATACCGCATTTTCAACTTTCGTTTTCATTGACATGGATTAAAACTCGGCCGAATGTACCGTTTATTGTTGTAAACTATGTACTTCAATACATCTATTAAAATAAATTTTTCTAGCAGTACGTACTAGTTTTCTTTTTAGGATATTTTTAACGGTTATTCCTTTTATTCTATTATTTCTTTTCTTTAATAGTTTTGCTCGAGTAAAATAATTATGTATATCAGTCCCAGTAAATATCTCAATGAACATACAGTCATCATCTTCTACAAAAACAGTTACTATTTCAACAACTGTACCGTGAATTTTCCACATCAAAGAATATTCAATAAGCATCCGAAAGTGTCAAACACACCTAAATTCAGTTGAAAGTTGTGTTAAGCGTTAAAAATGTTATTGTTAAAGTTGACTAGTTAACTTTTTTTTCATTTCTCCTATATACAATCGCAACTTTTCGGCCCTTCCCTTCAGTCTTCGGATAAAGATCTCAAACACAAAAGTATGAATACACAGAACAGATGGGTATTTCGGCCTAACCTACGCTAAGAAACTAAACATGTAAGCAAATAGTAATTTAATACTTGGAGTTGTTGACAGTTTTGTAAATGTTCACCTTAAATAAGTTAATCCATAGATATAAAAGTGAACAATACCTTGTTTACTTATTATTATGATAGTTAAACAAAAAGTTCAAATTGTTATCCTCTTGAAAGCCCAACACGGCAAAATTGAAAATGTTGCAGGCTCGGTTTGATTGAGCCTGTTCATGGACGGTACTGGAAAGTGCAAGTTACCGTACACGCCCCCTAGCACCGGCTTAAGCAGAATTCAACATTTAAACATGGCAAAGTCGGATTCATAGTACCTGCTATCTATGGTCTCCACATGTTTGACACATGATTTCCAGTCATGAGCGATGATATCCCGGATGGCATTATCCACAAGAGCCTACACATCTTTAAACTTTGCTGGGTCAGGTGGGGGCTGCGTTCATTGAATGCCGCCTTTCCTTGTCGATCTTGTTTATCATATTTTAAAGATAAGATCTCGTGGTAACCTCTCCTTTCATATTGGCTCTTATCAATTCGAATAAGTTGAGGTTTGCATGGTAAGGTGGAAGCCTAACACACTCAGATCCGTGTTGCCTAAGGATCGATTTCATTCAATAAATCGGTTCTACTGGCTTGTGTTTCTGACATAAATCAAGCAATTCAGTCCTGAACATGTTTTGGCTGAATTGTATGTTGTAGCGCTGTAACCATGATGTCATCACACTTTTTGTTTTGTTATTGATTTCGCCGGTTGTTTGTTATCGCAAATGGTAAGATAAGGTGTGTAGTCTATCATCACGACACTGTGTGCTGGATAACGGAGTTAGCTTATCATTAAGCAACTTGGTGAAAATATCTCCATTCATTTCACCGTGGTAATTACCTGTTGAGGTATTTGCTTTGAAAATTAGCTTGGCAACGGAGAAGAACCCAGAGACAGACCCAGCGTGAACAACAATCAACAGCTCTCCTTTGCCAAACGGCACATTCACCATAATTTCGTTCAGCTGCCAGCATTTCTTCGTAGAGTGCGACGCATTAATGAAGGTCTCGTCCACATACACTATTGGTCTACCATCACCTCGGGAATTTCTTTATGCGGCGTAACAAATTCTGGAGAGAACAACGTCTTGTCTTTCCATGAGCAGCATCATATTGTTTTCACAACGCTTCCAACTGAATGAAACTTCTTCGAAACTCCTCGCAAATGAGCCTCTCCAGTGTCATATCCCATCTTATATTGAAGCTCAACTAGTTTTATCTTCGTCACTGGAAACCGGTGCTGGTAGGTAATAATTTTGTTTTCTGTTCAAAAGTCAAAGTTATCCATAGCATTTTCCTGCCAGGCGTTGTTTTCTTCTATCCTTTGTTGGCACGATGCCTACACAGGGTAGAAACTGCTTCTCCGGTGTAGTAAGAGGCCATCTTTATCGCCTTCTCTTCAAATGTCATCGATAGATCTCGGAACATAAATAACTTAAAATTACTTTCGTGAACATCATATAATAGTAAAATGTAAAAAAGGGACAGTTTTACAGAAAGTATCTATACATGTAACGAATAATAAGACTTCTAATAACCGCTTTTGCGTGCTGACAATATAATAGATGATTTTTGTTGCCAGCCATTATGTCATGTGAAGCACAGCATTTCAATTGAATCGTAACAAACATAAAGTTTTTCATTTATATGCATGACCAAAAAGCACGAAATACCGCGCATTGAAAAAATGTATCATTAAAAAATAAACCTTTTGAACGACCAACGCGCTATAACTATACAGCGTCTCAATCAATTAGTACTACTATACTATTCATACACAAATGACTTACTTTTTTTGAAGTGCACCGATCCATGGTTCCGCAATAAATACATTTCAACAGAGTACTGTTAGCTATGTAACAGTATAACTATCTTAGTCATGTTAACAGTATGAATAACTCCAAGTGGCCTATTGGAAATTAACATTACAAAAAATTGAGGGGTAATAAATCTAGATAGGATATAAAATGAATGAACGCAATATATCGTGTATATAAATGATCGGTTAAATAAAAAACTGCAATATTCAAAGAAACAAAACGTCCGCAAAACATAAAAACTCACTGGAAATGAAAACTGTTCAGAAAGAAAGTTCTGCATAATTTAGGCATCTAATATCTCAAAACATTAGCCTGATTGGCCATCTAATATAATGCTATATTTGGTTGGTTATATGTCAACTTAAATTTTACTCTTACAGTTAGCATGAGTACGAACGTAAATAAGGTTTTCTAACATATGACGCATGCTGTAGATACAAATGAAATAAAAGTGATAATGAAGCGTCAGCAAGTTTTCGTGTCAATTTTATTCATTGATGTTACTGCATTATATACATTAGCATTCCATCATTTAGTTTTTCAAACAGCGATCTCTATCGCAAACTCTACACCTGGTGATCCCATCTGTGCCAATCTCAAATGTCTTAGCTCGGCAATATTTTGGAATGGACAAATCGTTAGGGCATTGGATTTGTGGGCACACTTCTCTCTTCTTTCCTGAAAGTGTAGAGAATTCAAAACGTTATACATAAACCAAGGAAATAATGATTTACAGTTGCATGCTGTGATCTTAAAGCTTGTGAATAAAATTTTAATTAAAAGCAAATGTATAAATATACTTGGTTTAAGAGGGGTCTGTCTAATGTTCTATTTGAATTCAGTTTTTCACCCAAATTTGGTTACTTCAAACTTCTAGACTCTTATAAATAAACAAAACAGGTAAAACGAGAACTTTAAGGTTCAACTATTATAGAACAAGTAACAAAGTTATATAAGTTTATTTTACACAAAAAGCCAATATTAAATGTACAAAAATTGTCATTTTTGCTTTCGTTATGCCAAATAAAAAACATGTAAATTTACCACAAACACTTGAATCACACAGTCGGCACTTTGTTATTCCGTCAGTGCCTATCTCAAAGTTTGGTCGGCGGCAATCCTTCTTTATTTTACGATCATTTGGGCAATATATCACCGGGCAAACAGTTGACATATCACCTAAATAAACACGGAATTGTGCGGAATTAGAGTAACAATTCATAAAATTATTGCTAACTTTAACTTAAAATTCCAAATTTCATATTCAAAATTTCTCAATACGTGATGTTTATCAAAATTAAATAAATCAATAATTTGGCTGATCATACATACTGTTTCAGATTCTATCATGTCATAATTACTTTTTATTGAGTAATTATTTTTTATTTGAGTGTTATAGATATAAAAATATCCGATTATAGAATAACTGCAATAAACAATCTGACAACATTAAAATCCCTGCATTATAACAATGATAAGTCAAAATCGTTACTTATATCCAAATCCCATTTGTTTGCTGAATTTACTTTTACTGACAGAATGGAATAAATGAAATATTTCACCACATAGATTGCTGTCACATACGCGACACCTGGTCTTGAAGTCTTCTCCAATCACATATTCTGCTTTCCTACAGTCTTTTGGTATTTTATGATCGAGTGGACATAATATTTGTGGACACGCGTTTTTCTCTGAATATAAATATTAATTTGTATAGTACATGTAACAGTCAGCTATTATAAACATGAGGATTCCCTTTTTGTAATCAAGATATAATAAGCGTCGAGTAGGTAGACAATGATAAAGTCATTGTTAAGCTGCACTGAAACACCGCACTTTGGGATCCAACGTTCTTTGGGGTCCGACCCCAGAGTGCGTCACGTACTTCGGGTCCGATTTTGACCCTAAAGTGCGTTAAACAGGTGCATATGCATTTTTGTACATCAGACACACGGTCGCACTTTATGTCATAAAAATTCAATCAATAAAATGAGAAACATGAGTTATTAAATAATATATTGTTGTCAAAGCCAATGCTAAACCGAAATCAAGGTATTCAATAGACGCAAAACATAGTAAAATCAATAATGATCTTTTTCAGTAAGTGAAGAGCTTTCATTAAATAAAGAATTTGTATCAATTAATAAGCTCAAAATATATTTTTCTCACACTTCAATTTATCTTAAAAGAATGCACACCGTTCATTAACTCTATTTATTTTAGCTAATTGCATCATTTTCCCGCTTTTTTTATTCACACATTTTATAGAAATATATTAGTCTTAGCATATATAAAGGTATAAATTCTGAGCAATCTAAATAAGACATTTCAGTACAAAATGTGCCTGATAGTATGTTGAAAGGGCCATTTATTTAGCTTGTCTAAATGTGATATTTAAGAAACTTGACTAGATGTAGATACGGTCTTAAGTAGTAGTCCGTACAGGCAGTACTCAAAAATATCATAAACTATTTAAGCAGTCACACATTTGGAGCGAAACTTCCTGTAAAGTTCTCACTGGGGGATCTAGAGAGGATAGTGGGGTTTCGATCCCCAGAGGTTATAAAAATAACGTTGTAAAATCCCATTATGCTTTTATTTGTATTTATTAAAAGCTTTTTAATTTTGATGTATTTCTATAGTATCTAAAGAGTTACTCATTAACCAATTACCTGAACCTGATCTTTTCATCTGTTCCTTTTTTTGGCAATGAGTACAGTTATTGTGATTAGTATTAAATATGGATGTCAAATACTTCAATGTTTACATTTTGCTACTTTTATGACAGATTATTTCACATTTATCGCTTCTTTATTCAGGTACCAAGCATCTTACATTTCTCTGATACCATTATTTAAACATTTGCCCTTTCTAAAGAACTAAGTAAGATTTCCCATTAAAAAGCCTCTGTCGAACGGTTGTTGCGGAGCTTAAAAAAAACCTTGAAATAGATAAAAACAGAATCCCTAAAGAAAGCCCAACACGGCAAAATTGAAAATGTTGGCCTAAAGTTTGGTTATAAGCTTAATATGTATTTGTAAAAATCACTATCTATAATCTGATCAAGAAACTGGATATTTGACCGGAACATTGTAACAGAGTGTATTTATAGTTCTTTGGAAAAAATGTTAACTACATTTTATTTAATTCCCATCATTTTTAAAATTATTTTTGAAATGGGGCTCAATATGTCACCAACAGTAAATGACGGAACAGGTTATTTTTCACAGCATCTTTTTATTTTAGGAATACATTCACAATTTATGTACTAGAGTTCTTTGTTATATGGACACATTTTTTAAAGATTTTTCAAATGGTAGAATTAATGAAACTTTTATCACTTAAGCATCAAACAAAGTATTGACCGCCATCTTGAACTCCATCTCAAATATTTCAATATAACAAATCGATTTGCACTAATATAACACTATAATTGTAATATGACGACTTTTCAGATTTACTGGTAAAGCGGGACTTCAGATGCCAATCCGTGCATTATTGCACGTGAGTCTTGCTAACTCGACCCATATAAAAAAATTATATATATATATATATATATATATATATATATATATATATATATATATAATATATATATATATAAATGGTTAAAACTGGTGGAGTTAAAGAAATACTGACCGAAGTTATGTCTTCAAAAATAAAATCGAAGCTTCCATTATATTGTCAAAATCATGATAAAGATCTACATAAAGCTCCTTTCTGGTTGTAAGTCCAAGTTATAGTTCAAAACTAGTTAATTTAAGAATAAAATCATTGACGAAAATATTTTTTTTTAAAATAAAACACTTATTTTAATACGTACTGTTTGCTGAAGAAAGATCACAGGTAAACATGAACGCAAGTGCGAGAAATACAATGCTGGTCATTTTGAGTTGCCCACAGTAACTGGTGAATATGATAGTAGACCGGTATATGTAGACAAACACATATTGCCCAAAGCTCATACACACATAGTATATGACCAGTATTTGTAGTGATCATACCACGGACTCGACAAACTTATTAATTTTAATGTCATCAACACATGGTATAACGGCACATATGGTTTAACATAAAATGCCTTAAGTCTACAAAAAGGGCTAAAGGTAAAACATCTATCAAACTGTCGTATAAATCCGGCAACCGTATCATATGGATACAGGATTTTTACCGCATCTTTTTAAAATGCATTTTTCATTGTCTTTCTAGTGAATAAAAGATGAAAAATTTACCAGGCTCTTATCAGCTGTTGTTAAATGAAACAACGATTGTTTTAAAATAAATAAAACAATATGCTACATTTTACTTGTATAACCAATCGAACTGCATATCCATGTAGTAACTGCAAATATTGCCAATTCAGGCGAATACATGTTTTAAAGATCAAAGGAGTTGGTTCAGTTGTTATTCAGTTGATACAGACGTTCATTATGTATTTAATGTTACAATACAGATGGTATTCGACATGGTATTATACATTTGTATAATGTTCTTACTTTTATCATTTTTATGTTTACATACAATATGTGTAATTTACTAAACTCTGAATCATATTGAATGGTATACGTTTAATATTTCCTGACATATATAATATATGATAACTCATTGTCAACATCAGTATTACTACCAACAACAGGTTCATTACAGAATTTCAGATAGTGAAAAAAAGCATTATTTGTAATTAATAATATATTTATTATAATAAAAAATGAAAGATTACGTTCCACTTCCCACTTTACGCACTTTTTTTCTTCTTCGTATATATGAATATTATGTCATTTATACTCGTATATAACTAACAAATCCAGCCAAATTACAATTATCATTTAAAAATTATGGCACTGAAGTAAGTACCATAAACAGACCTATACTAAAGTCCCATAAAATCATATTTGTTCTAATTATAGGCCAATGATAGTACATAAATATCAATACATTGTTTTCTTAAAATAACTGTTATAATGTGAAAAATGGATACAATTTAAAATTTAACAAGATCTCAAACCGCTACCAAATAGTTTTACTATCGATAAGAATTGTGTAATAGTTTCTAGCTAATTATCACTCGTACATTGAGGGTATATGGAACAAACAGCAGCTGATTCTTTTCTTTTGTCAGAAATTTGCTCCCCCCAAAAAAGATGAAGACGGTACGTCTATCCATTTCGTTGCCCATCTTTTAAGGTATATGTGTATGGATGCATAAAAAGGGAGACAATTGTATTTAATTCTTTTATCCAACTTGATGCGGGTTTTTTCCCATGTATAATTTCAAGTCAAAACACTCAGTCTTATAGAGGTTCCGTTACAAAGTTAATGTTTCATCCATAAAAAAGAAGCGAATTTTTTAAGATCTTTCGTGTCATGACTCCTATCTGTAAACACTTGCCTATAGGTAGAGGTTTTACCACTTTGATTATGTTAACCAGGGTTATGCAGCACTTCAGACTCCTGTTTAACACTATATGTTGCTATCATCTTCATTATTAGACATTAACACAAGTTACTGAACTTCATAATATCTTTCATGTTATTAATATTTAGAACATGGTTATAAACTGTTACCTCGCAATTTGGTAGACACATTAAAAATAATTTAAAAACGAATAAAGATAGACATGAACAACACAATATACCATCTATCAATTATGTTTATGTAATGGATACTACAAATGTCATCATTTTATAACAAATAGGTTAATTAAAATAAATTAGATCACGTTGTCATATTGATCGAAACAATGTACCAAAAAGTACCAAAAACTTTTGTTATCGTTGGTGTTCATTCAGTACATGTTCAATTATTTCTTTAACACAGCAGCCATTTAAAGTCCGAGAAAACAAGCACTAGGTTTGGGCACCGCCCACTCGGAGTATTACCATGGAAACTATGGTCACTATTGTTGTAATAAGAGAAAACAAAAAGAAGTTAAACTTGTCAAACACTAGAGCAAACTCCTGGAAGCCAGTCTCGTCTGCTTCGAATTCGCTCCTATTGTCGTTCGTTTCTTCTGCCCATGCCTTGCCTTTCATTTTTTCTGTAGTTGAATTAACTGACTCATGTAGCTTTAGGTCACTCTTTTCTACGGTCAAGTTAATTTTAGATGTTGCCCCTGTGCTGTTGTTTTCATAAATTTTGCTAGAAACGAAGTGGGAACGATGTGATTAAAGAATTATAGACCAACAGTTTATATACATGTATTTAGCATATTACTTAAAATAAAAGTAAAGAAGAGCTTATGGTGGCTTTTATCGAATTTTCTGAAACTTACAAAACTTTCTTAAAACCCTTTCTGAAGAACGTAACAAATTTTGAGTCGTAGTTCAGTTGAAAATAAAGTACCTTCTTACATATTTTAACATACCTATATATCTTATTGATATGTAAAAAACACCCATCTAATGAAATAATTCTAAAATTATCGTAGGAAATTTAATCTAATACAACAGCCACATAAAGTAGAACCAAAAAATGACCAAATACTAGGTGTTACAAAGCCAAGCTTGCCCACACTGTCGACTCGGTTTGAGTAAGCCTTCCATATTTTGAATAATCTGACGCCTCTTGTTATATGTACTTGCCAGGATTTGAATAATCTGTCACCTTTTTTTATCTCGTATACTTGCCAAATTTTGACCAATATGGCGCATCTTGTTTAACGACATGGCGCATCTTGTTATATATACTTGACTGGTTTTAAATGATCTGGCGCCTCTTTTTATATTTACGTGCTAGGTTTTTGAATAATCTGGCGCATCTAATTATATATATATACTTGCCTGGTTTTAAAATTATCTGGCGCCTCTTTTTATATTTACGTGCTAGGTTCTTGAATGATCTGGTGCATCTTGTTATATACTTCCCGTGTTTTGAATAATCTGGCGCCTCTTTTTATATTTACGTGCTAGGTTTTTGAATGATCTGGCGCATCTTGTTATATATACTTTCCTGGTTTCGAATGATCTGGCGCCTCTTTTTATATTTACGTGCTTGGTTTTTGAATGATCTGGCGCATCTTGTTATATGTACTTGCCTGGTTTTGAATAATCTGGGGCATCTTGCTATATGTACTTGCCTGGTTTTGAATGAATTGGCGTATCTTGTTTTGACGACCTGGCACATCTTGTTATATGTACTTGCCTGGTTTTGAATGAATTGGCGTATCTTGTTTTGAACGACCTGGCACATCTTGTTATATAAACTTGCCTGGTTTTGAATGAATTGGCATATCTGGTTTTGAACGACCTGGCACATCTTGTTATATAAACTTGCCTGGTTTTGAATGAATTGGCATATCTTGTTTTGAACGACCTGGCACATCTTGTTATATATACTTGCCTGGTTTTGAATGACCTGGGACATCTAATTATATGTATTTGACTGGTTTTGAACGACCTGGCGCATCTTGTTATATATACTTGCCTGGTTTTGAATGATCTGGTGCCACTTTATATATGTACTTGCAAGAATTTGAATGATCTGACGCATCTTGTTATATGTACCTCCAGACTTACATTGTATTTTCTGTTTTAATTTCTACTATAACAGCGAGAACAAGTTAACAATCACTCACTGGCTTCTGGTTATTTTGGCAAGGACAATCGTCAAGCTCTGTAACTTTGGGCCCATCTTGTATCCCTTTTGATGAAAATCGTGAATTCTACAGGTCAACACCGTCAGTAACGTCTCCAGAGAACATATTATAAATGTAAGCAGGAGATAAACACCTAGTGTTAAATAAAAAGAAGATATTTCCATATTCAAATTAATCATGTTGAAAAAAAACCTCTTCGAATTGGACAATTTTCTTGTAACTGATCTAAATTACGGATTATACGAACTTCGTTAGTATAAACTACTTAATTAAACGCAATTAGTGCATTTTACCAAAATAGAACTCCAGAACCAAATGGTAGCCAAAACTTCCTCGTAAGCTTGGCACTTAAGGTGTTGTTAACAATGACTGTATGTATTTTTGATTACTGCAATTTGACCATTTAGAAATTGTTCTAATGTAGTTTAGTTTCTCTAAAATTAATAACGGTCAAGTTAAATAAAAACTGTAACATTTAATTAAGTTCTGTTTAATTTATAATATCATAGGAATACTATAGAAACCAGACAATCTGACAAAGTAACCGCATAATAGTTTGTTGATTGTAGAAATATTCCTACTTACTGAGAACACAAATATGAGTAGATGTTGGGGGAATACTTTCTGATACTAGTGTCATAACTACAGACAACGACAAAAGGATGGTCAAACAATAGCCCATCTTCTCCCCGCTTTCAACCGGAAGTATAAACACAAATGGCGCCATTAAAGCCAAAACAATAACCGGAAGTATCATGTTCATGAGGTAGTACGAATATTTCCTCTTCAAGGAGAGAGTAAATTTTACGCCAGGTAGAGGATGTGTCATTAAAATCCTGGAAGATAACGCAGAAATGTTAATAATGTGTTGTTTGTTGGCATAAAAATGTGACTAAATAAAAAAAAAAGCTGTTCGTTGAAAAACAAAATCAATAAATTATAGACAAAAATAAACATTACATAAAATAGTTACTTCTTTGTCTGAGTTATAATTACTTTTGATAGAAAACAGTATAAATAGGAATGTAGAAGTTAACTCCATATGGATGCTATTACTGTAGTTTTTCAAGTTCATAACCAGGTTAAATGATTTACAGTGTCGTATATGCATGCTAATTTTCTCTTTAATCTAATAGAAATCTTATTAAACACACGAAAAATGATTTTACATAAAGCTATGAAGGTCTATGATATTCTATAATAAGATAACCTTGTTGTAATATTTTCTATGTGTACCATGTTTTGTTTGCATTATAACATTTGAGGTGGTATTCTACTGTAACATTTGAGGTGATAGTTACTGTAACATTTGAGGTGGTATTTTACTGTAACATTTGAGGTGGTATTTTACTGTAACATTTGAGGTGGTATTTTACTGTAACATTTGAGGTCGTATTTTACCAAGTTGTGTCTATCTTTTTTTTACCTTGTAATATTTTCTACAGAAGAACTGATGATATCCCATTCACCGTTTTGCTCATACAGATCCATATTGATAGTCAGGCCTGACCCTCCAATTTGTAAATCGTTTGCTAAATAAAGCCAAGATGAAACCTGAATAACAAGTTAATATCAGATTAAGTTAATATGTTCTTTTAGTTTCCATACATACGCTTTAACTAGTGCTCAAGCTATATTTCTGCTGCAAAAAACAAAATTTGAATTGAAAATACTTCTTAAATGCTTGTAAGAAAGAAATATGGTATTAAATTGCATTAAAAACAAATGCAAAGGCGCATTTACAAAATTATTGCTCCGGAGCATTTTATTCCGTTTATGTACAATATTCATGTGTGTTAAATAACAGAGACGCTCTTTATCATAACTCTTTCGGAAATCGACCATTTAAAAAATAGCTGTAGTACGTTGTCAGTACGTTGATGGAATACACTGCTTATGTGAATTATTTCAAATTAACTTTAATATCCTGTCTTATTGATTATAATTGATTTATAAACATATTGAATTTAACCAATACTTCTTATTCATTGGGACATAGAACGAAGATGCACTTATTAATCAGATCGTAATTTCCTGTGATTACTGGATTATGTATGGTTAACAATAAAATATAATTTTCACTTGCCTGATACTTTAATAGAAAATACAAATGTAATTGTCTTTAGTTTCGGCTTTGCTGTCGACAACATATTCTAATCAATATACCAGTGCAGTCAAACAGTTCACTTTCTGGACAGTACTCATTCTAAATATTTTTTGCAATGATGAATGTGTTTGTTCAGATAGAAACATGGACAAGTCTATTGAAGATATTAAATAGGGTTAAGGTTAAAACGATGATTAAGAGCAGACGATAAAAGTCGTCTGTTATATCTATATTTGACCCGCGCCATTACAAAACCATAATAATGCGTTTGCAACCAGCGTGGATCAAGACCAGTCTGCGCATCCGCGTTCGCTATCAGGATTTCTACATAATATAGGGTTAGTAAGCGAACAACATGTGTCCTGATCAGACTGCGCGGATGCGCAGGCTGGTCTGGATCCATGCTGGTCGCAAACGTATTACAAATGTATGTTGGTTTTGTCATGGCGCGGCTCATTTGTTATTTACGTGTTTATCTACCCAAAGACAATATACTTACCACAAAGAAACATATTTGTGAATCGAAGGGATAATATTGAATATTGATTGTACACTGAGCTACAAAATTAGCAGGTGCAAGCCAGATGGCGGTTCCGTCGTTAGATAAATGAACATCCACACTTGATAGGTCTGAGTCATCATTGATCATTTGTATTTCATCCGCACTGAAATATATAAAACAATATGCTTATTTGCAAGTTAAATGACACGTACAGGCACAACTCGAATTTGTATACGTCACAACATATTATGAAATCATGTTTAATATTCTGAGAGAGACAGTAGATCTAATATGATATGTATGATACAGAGTTCACTTTAGTAAATTTTCACTTACTGTATCTAAACAATAATGATAAAAATAAGAACATAATACAAATTAATGTATAAGGTTACATTAACAACAATTAACATCAGCAAACAGTAACATTCAGTTTCAAGTTGAATATGCTTTGTAACACTTTAAGACTCAAACGCACTTTGGGTTCCAACTTACGACGCATTGTTCGACAAAATATCATACAGACGTTTATAAATATGCACATTTTGATCATTTACGACATGGGTGTTTTGCTTGTTTACGGCCGTCAGGACAGCACATCTTAATACGCACTTCATAAAAGTGAAATATTAAAAAAGTAGGGGGTCAACCCCTCTCTACAACAAACGGATAGTTCTACAAAGTCGAGGTAAATGGATTTTATTTAGAACGTTTAGAAAAATGCATTTTCATTCAAAATACATACAAAAAACATATTGTAGAAATAACTGTGGTCTTGGGTCAAATGAATCCATGTTCCCATGGTCAGAGGTATTTAAAAAACAGAGTTAGAAAAGTCTTGCGCTGAGCCCCCGATTTGCGTTTTAATGAGGAAAACACACATTTTATCAATGTGCGTTTTACCAATTGAGATTGAGACCTTATTAAATTCATTAATTGGTTTATATTTCACAACTTACGCATTGTTGAGAACTAATGCTGGTGACCAAATATCAGATAGACGTATATAAACTGAATCCATGTTCCCATGATCAGTGGCAGTCCATACCAACCGATCATCTGTCCATGCCTATAGAAGAAAAAACAAATTGCAATTACATAAACGTTAAAGACTGAAAAGACAAACAAACGTTTTCTAATTTTAAATTGTGTAAGAGATAGGTAAGAATAAAGGTCACATGCATAAACAATTTGTCACTAATATTCACAAATTTATTTTCCAATCCACACCGTATTACCGGCGGCAGTGATGGCAGATCACTGCAGTGATGGCAGATAGCTGGAATTTACCGCTCGGTACATGTAGGTTATAAATTTGGTTGGTATTATTATATTACACAAATACTGCCCATTTCATTGCTATGAAACTATTGTCCATTGACTGGAGATACTATTAGTTAATTTTGGACTCGTTTTTCCTGTTTTTAGACTATTTTGAGCAGGTTAAAAGTGAAGTGACAGCTTCGGAAAAATCAAGTTCTTGGAAAACACGACAACGTGGATTCATTTCTTTAAATTTTCATGTTTGAAATCGCGTTGTAGTTTGCCTTTGAATTACATTTACTATGCTAAAATATTAACAACAGTACTAACAGTAAGGTGGACATACAACGCGATTTCAAACATGAAAATTTAAAGAAATGAATCCACGTTGTCGTGTTTTTCAAGAACATGATAATATAGGAAAATATTTGAACTGTCCATAATATTGTCTTAATCTCCATTTTACATTAACATATATTGTTGTATGATACACTGATGTCCACAGATCTTGTCAGTTGCAAGCTTAATAGTCTCCCCTATATTACCTCGATTTAGTAACTTATATTCTGCAGCACTAGCGCCGACTAAGTAAGTTTCAGATTTGATATGTCATAAAGCGATGAACATTATTACCTCGAGAAAATAATGTCATATGCAAGCAAAAGAATATCCACTTACTGAAGTTACAGCTGTAATATGCAAATGGCGTTATGTCTTGAAAAGGCAATGAATTATGCGCTGCTAAACTTAAGATACATATGGTATTGTATGCATGTAACTGACAGACACAACATATCAAGCACACATGCATGAATATAGGTAAATGAATTTCTCCATCTTAATTGCTCTATTTATAGTGCAATTTGGTCGTATTAAATCATCACTTTTTGTATTGTATCTGCGTGTTGCTAAAAAGCTTTTTCGATGCACATACCGCATTAATTACTTTTTTTTTCTTGAGAAAATATTAGAAATAATAGTTTAACGTCTCAATTCCGACTAAAAGGGCGCAAAGAATAGAGGAATTGATAAAAGATTGACCTTGATTTTCTGTCAGAATGTTAGCCACTTTCATGGTATTTCTGCAATCGACGGCAGCATTTAAAATAAGTATCTGCCTACAACGGCAGCATTTTTTCTTCAACCAGACCAGATTTAACGTCTATAAAACTTTCAAGAAAAGACTCACGGGGTAGATATTTGGCTCGCGTGACCCCAATGGATGAATGTCTATATTAATAACACGAAATCCTGCCATTTAGTTAAAACTTGAGATATTTTGAACAAAAAACAGACATTTTCAAGGATTTTTCCGAAGCTGTCACTTTTATCCTGCTCAAAATAGTCTAAAAACAGGAAAAACGAGTCCAAAATTAACTAACAGTATCTCCAGTCAATGGACAATAGTTTCATAGCAATGAAATTGGCCGTATTTGTGTAATATAATAATACCAACCAAATTTATAACCTACCTGTACCGATTGGTAAATTTCAGCTATCTGCCATCACTGCAGTGATCTGCCATCACTGCCGCCGGTAATACGGTGTGCAATCATAAAATACCTTTGCTGAAAAATCATCTGTGTGTACAATTATCAAATTGTCAATTTTAAAAACGGATATTCAAGTTTGATTTCCAATCATTCAATGAATCAAATTTATGTTTCGAAACAAATTAACTCTACATTATAAAATGTATTTATGTATACTTATTGTATGACTTTTATCACATGGAGCTTTCGTAGGTTTAAACAGTTATTATTTATGTTATAGGGGAATCTAGCTATCTTTTTGTACCTTCATCAATATACAGTTGAACCTTTTATAAAGGTCATTTTAAAAGTGTTGAGCACTGGTCACTTTATGCCAGATTTTTACTTCCCTACTCTATAACAGTGCAGAAATATTTTTTATCAAGTAAACATTTTTTTAATTCTCCACATGTCGTCAACAGACTGGATTGATTGTATATCTATTATACCCAGTCATTATTACAGTAAAATATATTATATTATGTGGTATAAAGCTGTTATATTATTTCAGTATCGATGTACAAATCCCATGAGTGTTAATTAATGTATAATGTTATAATGTTATATGATATATGAGAGATAATGTACTTACAGCGAGCAGGAATCCAACAATATGTATCTGCTGATTAACAATGTTCTGAAACACAAAACAACATGTTCTAAAAGGCCGACAGTTTACACAAGAGCAAAACATAATAAATGCTAGTCATAAAAGTGAATTAGTCCATCATGGAAGGCCAGTTATACAATAAAATTTAATAATATTGTTGATAGTATTTAGTAGTATACGTGGTAACACAAAACAAAAATATATATGGATGTCCTGTTGATAAGTTTGAGCTTCATGTTCCGATACAACATAACATTATCTTTATACAGCAAATAATAAATTGTTCTAGAAAAAATATTATTAACTATCACATAAATGACAATACTCATTAAAATATTTTACAAGAATATCCAAATGATACATTTCTATCGTTTTTATTGACATTTGAAATGTGTTAGTAAACTTGTGTCCATTGTTGACCAATTCACTTTAATTCATGTCATATGCTATTATTATTTCATTTTTTATGTCGTTTATTTGTTAATTTATCAGTTGACTTCAAATAAAAAGATAATCATAGTGACTTAATTGTAAAAATATACGCCTTTGTTTGGTCGTCTTTATACTCATCTGAATACTTACAGTAACTGTACTTAGTCAACGAAAAGTATAATAATAATAATAATAATGATAATAATAATAATAATAATACTGATAATAATAATGGGTGAATAAAGATATTTGAATTGAATTGAATTGAATAATAATAAAAAATGATAATGATAATGATAACAATAATAATAATAAGAATAATAGTAATAATAATAATTATAATAATAATGATTATAATAATAATAATAATTATGATAATAATAATGATAATAATAATAATAATAATAATAATAATAATAATAATAATAATAATAATAATAATAAAAGTTAAAGAGTTAAGGATATAATGCAGTTCAATCAACGGTTAAAGAATTTATACTATTTACATAATTATATTTATTTATTTAACAAGGGAGATAATTTGTCAAAGAAATTAAAAGTAAGTATAATGTAAAGAATATTGAACATTTATGTCAAATATAACTAAATATATTTACGAGCTCAGTAATGTGCATCAGACCGAATGTGATATCGACAACTGTTGTCGTTGATGGCCGGACTTTAGTGGAATAGTTGGTGGCCAGCGTACTCTGTAGAACCATCGCATCATATGCGGTGTAGGCGTCACATATGCTTAATGACGTCATCAAATATAATAAACCTGAAATTATGTACCATATAAAAGTAAAAACGAAACATGTTTGCTAACGTCGTACATAGATACTTCAATACAGAACAAACATAGAAAGTTTAGTTACTATAATTACAATTATTTTCATATGTTTTGGAACCGTCATCAGACATTTTATTTGAGTGTCTCAAATGCCAACATTTTCAGGATGAAAATGTGATATTAAAGGGGTAAAGAGGATTTTATGTACGTCATATATGAATCACTGCAAAAACACTCATTGTAGCATTGCACTTATTTATTTGATATAAATTAGAATATGTCACAAAAGAATTTTCTTCTTTGTCTAATCATATTTTATTGCTAACATATACATGTAAATATACAGAGAAACAAATTGATTTCGAAATCACAAAAAGCAGAGGGGTCTCACAACATTAGCGAAATGATTTCATTACTGTAAGTTTAATTGAATATTTTGACACAGGCAAAATTTTCATTTCTTAGTTTTGAGTTTTTCAGTCATTATTCTGTAAATGCCCTCAAAATGAATATATTAGACAGTCAAAGGAACAAAACTTTCCTCCATACAAAGAATAAAATGGTGGTTTCCTAACTTGACCCGCGTGGGTCAGGTTAGAGCGCTAGGATTTCACTTAAGTTGTCAAAGTGAACTCTGGAAACGTTAAAGAACATGTCAAATGAATGACTTAAACTTGTATCAATCATACAATATCCATAATACCTGTTATTGTTACTTTAAGGGTTTGTTCAAGTCATGTGACTTGTTTTAAAACTATTTGGCGATTTTATTCGGGTCTAGATTTTGTTCAACATATAAAGATATATTTACGCTTCAAACCCAAAATATTTAGAATTTAAACAAAAATTCATGCTGAAACTTCAAGAAATGTCATTTTAGCGTGATTTGAGTACATAAGTTAATTTTTATATTTTTGTCATTATTTTGCCTGAATATCCTTTTAATATATAACATCGAAATAAGCTTTTTATATAATTATGATTTAATTGTCACCAAGATCATGAAAACATTTCCTGTTACCATTTCCTATCTATGCATGATTGCATTGGGTTTTGTCCAATCATTGAAACTGTTCAAATATTTGCAGAACAAACACGCTGTCGAATCATAAAATAAAGTGCTTGATGAACATGAAACATTTCATTATAGAAATAATATAGTACGATAGTTACCATAAATATATGTAACTGAACGCCGGCGTCAAAATGCGTTACCGATGTATTTGACATTAAAAATAAAACGTGAATTACTTTTAAAATGATGAAGATAAATATCAATAAGTAACAATTAGCAAGTTTCAAAAGATTGTATTTATTTCAAGAGCATCAGAAATGAATATTTTTAAGAATAAAATATGTCAATTTATTACAGTAGTGAATGACATTATTTAGAGGTTAATACTTGGTTGCTGCTCGTCATTATGCGATAATGGTCCAAAGATGTGCATAATGGCTTGAGGGCCGCAGGTCCGAAATACATTATGGACTCAAATGTCATTATCGCATAATGGCGAACAGCGACCAAGTATTAACGTCTTTAATACCTATGCCCGAAACACGGCGTTTAGCAAACTCCCCGCAGCGGTTACTTCCCCTGATCAATACAGAAACAAAGTTAGTTAAAGTAGAAAAGCGTGACGTAACCGTTGTGAGGAGTTTAGACATCGCCGCTATCCTTGGTCGTCGCTCTTTCTTAGAAACGACAGTTCTCAATGTAAATAAATATCTGTCAGTCAGTATAACTATTCGATTAACTAAGAAAACATGTTAACACAAAATAAATGTGAGAAAATATTGCTTATATCGATGAATACTCCTTATATTTTTTGAGAGAATAACGTTTCTAATCTCCATTTTTTTATGAACTTTTGTTCTTTCAAGAACAATTTCTGATTTCAGGCTCTAAATGCCCCCGATCTTTTTTTCAACCGTCAGTCTGAAATCATTTTTCGGAATTTCTATGGGTCATGTTTGTCTTGGGTATAGTACAGTAGAAGTAATTTGTGTATCAATCTTCAATGTAAGCGTTGTTGATTGCGATTGATTGTGTCATCTTATTTAACTTCTATGTGCAAGTGACTGTGTAGTTCATTTAACGTCAGCAGCCATCTTGAAAGTCACCGAGACTTGTTTACGTAATTTACGCTCATTCACTCGCCCATTATGGAAAAATAATGCCGAGTAGCAAGGCGGCCGAAATTGCATAATGACCTAGATCTTGCCATAATGGCATTGAAATACCCTAGATTTTGTTACTATATATAGTAACATAGGTATTAATGGTTGTTTTCTCAGGCCAATGGTTTAGGCGAGTGTCACACTGTGCTTGTTTTTAAGTATTACGTTTATTGTAAATGATTCCTCATGGAGTTGTAACACACTTGATTGCTATTGAATTAACTTTGTCTCAAACTTCATCTTTCATGCTATGAAGTTTATGATTTTTAAACACTTAAAATATTTATATTTAGTTATATCTGTCTGAAACTGTAATCAATTATTTATGCAGTATGCTAAAAAATGAACTTTGTGGAATTGTTATAAACATCGAAGAAATAGAAATCGACGTAACTAATGAGTTTGCTTTTGCTATTTGTCAGGCATTCGTTAAGGCCATCAAATCATAAAATGATAACCAAACATTTATTAATATTCCGGAGTAATTTGATTCAATATTGAATAACGTGAAGGCAAATCCATTTGTTCTAATTGATAGAACGGTACCATAATGGATTACCGAGTCTCGTCAACCGGAAAGCCAAAATCTGAATGTGTTCATTAAGTTTATTTTGATGTATTAAAGCAAACAAATGTACTAAATGATAATGGAGTGTTGATCAATATTCTAGGAACGTGAATCAAATAACATGACCATGTTTCCATTGAGGACCAGCAAAATAAACCTCGCCATAATCACTACTCCTGGTTATTGAGATCAATGGATTTAGACAATAAAAAGACATTTATCTTCATTCCAATTCTTCAGTATTGCTATTCGAAATTAGGTCTGAACTCATGAAAAAAAAACCCAGAAAACTGTCTATATCATATCTTATGAAAAGTATTAAAATGCAAATTTATAATACAAGATACTGTGGGGTTTTTTTTCTTCAAAAAATTAAACACCATTGCAAAATACAATGTTCTCCAACCCTAAAAGCATACACTATTTGCAATAAACTATTGTGCCGAAAGGAGAAAAAAATAGCATAATAATTAATTGTGTATACAAATATTTTTTTATTGTTAAAAGATAACAACAATACTGTATCTTTACAAATTGACGTTCTTAATGCGGCGTATACAAAGGCTATTATAGTCTTTTTGTCAAATAATAATTTCACAATAAAATGTCTTTTACTATATACACGTGTTAACTGTCATAAAATTTTGGATTTAGTTTGGCATATGTTGCCTGAATGCATACGCATTTTATAAAAAACATTTTGTCTTGTTTCTATTTTTTCCAATTTAATCATTTGCTTTACTATAATAATATGATGAACTTTTGATAGCGTAATGTCCCTGTCTTTCATTATATATTTTCATATACACTGTCACATCACTTTAAATACTTTTGTAAGCCGTATTACATTTCGCAGTAATAACAGCGAAATATTTTGACTCAATTTATTTTTATGACTCTCCCAATACTCTCCGTGATAATAACTGATGGAGTTAGAGGTAATCAAGCGAGGTTATCTACTCTAGGGAAAATAAGTACATGGTGGATGAAGCATGAAGAATTATGAATCATCAATGCTTACAGTTTTGTGAGAACATAATAAAGTCATTCATTTCTCCCGATCTTTTCAAGCTATTGTATCATTAGTCATAACTAGAACTGTGTCCAAAGGACACGGATGCCCCCACTGACAACATATATATGGTATATAGTGAAAAAATTAACAAAGGGCCATAATTCTATTAAATTTGGTCGCAGCGAAAATTCTTCCTTATCTACCATCTACACATTAAGGTTGTTCATCACTGGAAGTTTAAGCAAAATCTGCCATCCGGTTTAAGAGGAGTTGCATTCACAAAATTTCTATATGGTATTCAGTGAAAAAATCAACAAAGGGTCATAATTCTGTTAAATTTGGTCGTGGAAAAAATTCCTTCCTTTACTACCATCTACACATTAAGGTTGTTCAACCCTGGAAGTTTAATCTGGTTTAAGAGGAGTTGCGTTCAAAAAATTTCTACATAGTATATAGTGAAAAAATCAGCAAAGGACCATAATTCTGTTAAATTTGGTCCCAGCGAAAATTCCTTCCTTTACTGCCATCTACACATTAAGGTTGTTCATCCCTGGAAGTTTAAGCAAAATCTGCCATCCGGTTTAAGAGGTGTTGCGTTCACAAGATTTTGGGACGTACGGATAGACGGACGGACGGACAGACATACGTACGGACGGACGGGCGGACAAGTGCAACGCTATATGCCCCCCACTTTGTGGGGGCATAAAAATGTATTGGTAGATGAAATAATATATTATTTTACGTCTGGTTAAACTAAATGTAATGCCGCATCGTAGTAATTTGGAAAATATTAGTAAAATGGTAGGTTTTATAGCGTCCTTTAACTTTCAATCTTGTCAGCTTTTGAATTTCTTTAATGATTTAAAAATGAAGAGATTAGAAGGATGACGTACAAATGTATTTAAAAAGTTTCTTTTTGATCGATATAACTGCAATATGTTTCTTTTGTTATTAGCAAGCAATATCCTTACTGGAATATCTGACATTTATTTAAATGTTTTAGGAAAACCATACAATAAGCACGGTAAACGATCTCACTTGATATAGTCGTTTATCTATACCATTTACTTTATATTATCATGTATCGATCCTATTTTAGTGACTAGGGATAAACAAGAGTTAATATCCAAAACATAATTATCATTTCAAAATGCCACTAAAACCATTAATAAAAGTTGACAGTTTAGACAAGAAGACTGTCTCTTAAAGTACTCTTTGATAATAATTCATTGTTTTTGTGATATTAAAATGGTATTCGGGACACTTGATATGCAAATATCTATATCTGATTACAAATGTACCGCCCGGTAAGAAGTTCGTCAAATCGTTTAATTGTTACTCGTAATGAAGTGGAAAGTTCAACACTTTGTAAATACATGTACAGTGTACATATATATTTACTTACATTTGTCATAATGAGTAAAGTTTGAGATGCTCTAAATGCAGGAAAAAATATTGAATAATTAGACAGGAATAATCTGATAATCGATCTCATATTTTTTTGAATTTTTAAAACTAAAAACAAACGTTTTTATGGTAATTTTCCCAAACATTTTTCCACTAGGGGGCCTTTAGACACTTTTTAAAATTGGGGCCCATGTTCGAAAATTAAAAACAGTAAAGTTTGTATGACCAAATAAACAGTGTTTAATAAATTTTTTTAAAAATTTATATCTTTTTTTTCACAATAAATTTAAAAAGCATTTTATTCCCTAAAATTAGTTAAAGTAATTGTCGATGTCCTTGTTTGTGGGTTTAAATTTTTTTCATTAAGATCATTAAATTCAGTACAACAAATTTGGGCTGTGTGCATCGTGATGGTTCTATCTATCAAAATATTTTAATTTTCAGATATCGGTTCCCGTAATGAAAAATAGGGAACTTCATTTTTTTAAATCAAACGGTTTTTTTGTTCCTCGCACATTTTGGTAAGTTTTTAATATTTTTGGCCATTCACGTCACAGATGTTAACTTTAAACTTGGAATACTTGTTCATTCACAAAATTGAAACGCATTTCTAAAGTAAATATTACCCTGAAATGTCATAATCATTTCTCAGTTATCGCCCATTTCATATCTCCATATTTGCCTTTATTTCTGGAGAACCATCAGGGACATTCAATTCAATAATGTATTATATGTTTAACTATTAAGGGTAGGTAATTATGTTAAGCAATTTTGCACAGTTATACCATTTTCATATTTTGCATTTATCAAAAGAAAAAAAACGAAGCATGCTGATATCGATGGACAGCTCTTGTTTTAAATTCGTCTCGCCTTAAAAATAGATATTTAGAAATGCATTTTGATTTATCTTCAATTAGCGCTCTCGATAACATGTTAGATAAATTAGAAATCATCGTTAACAAAACTATAGCAATTATATTGCTGAGACACTTTCAGTTATAATAATAAATGTTTATGTTCGCAAATATTTTACAAAAAAGGGTTTTTAAAAACCATCTTTTTAAATTTTATGAAAAAATATTGAATAGTTTAAGACGTCAGAGAAACGGTTGTCAAATGTTATTTTTAGACTCTAATTTGTAGAAGTAATTTTAGGTCTATAGACTATTTCACCCACCACAAGGTTAAATAATTTACAATTTATGGGTCCAAAGCGTGTAAGCTTGTCACTATTCTGATTCATAACGTTTTATTCAAATACAATTTCATAATTACAATTTCTTTTGAACATTAGAATTACAGAAGAAGTTTATGTCATTATTACTATAGTTTTTTCCCAAAAATATGAATATAAGTACTTTTATTACATGCTTTTCGGTGGTTTATAGAAATATATCAATGATATAAAACTGGTAATTTCACTGTTTAATACAGTGAAATTACCACTTTGATAATTTCACTGTTTTGAATTTAAGCCCCTTACGTTCTTTCAGTGAAATACCAGCGTGCACAGTACTTGGTACCAACTTAATGACGTTACGTCGTAAATGACGTCACGTTGTATTATTATTTGGCGCGCTTTTCATTCAGTATTAGGTTTAATGTCTTTTTAAAACGTTTGTATGCATGTAATAAAAAGAAAATTTGTTTAGTGTAGTGTAAGATCGAAATATATTTCACCTTGTGAACACCAAAAGTTCATATTTCACGAGTGGCGCACCTTTTGGTGCTCACCCGGTGAAATATATTCCGATCTTACACTGAACTTAACAAATATCCTCTATATATTTTGCATAAAGCAGTGGCCTTTTAAACTTTTACATAATATATTTGGATCTTTGACATTATGCTCATATTTTCATAGTCATGTTAAGCTGAATTGACTTTATATTTCAAAAGATTGACTGTCAAAATGGTGTTTGACCAACAGTTGATATTGGAAAATGTTTCGTATCAAATTATAAATCTGCCTAAAATTTAAAAAGACTGCCCCACTCTTTTTATAAACTAAGCGTTTCAGGTTAATTCTAATGGATATTTACAGACATTTCGTTTAGATCGATGTGTTATTTATTGTTTATGCGAACTTAATTATTAAATTAAAAGGAATTATGGCAAAATGAAAACTTATTTTGATCTTCACCCGTTCACTCACTATATACCCTAAGATGGGCATAATGTCACTTTAAGTTGGTCAATACATAATTTATATATTTCATTTTTAATACATATAAATCGCAATACTTGTTTTATATAATTCACTATTAAATAGGAAAATAATGGCATTTAGTTAATCTTACAGATGCTTGCTCGCAGAAGAGCAGATTTTAATATGAAGAGCGAAAGAAGTATAGAAAAATAAACCCATGTAGCAGTTAACATTGTACAAATGCGTTTGCCTTATTTTAGTTTAAACCACTTTATTTTGTCACTATTTTCATGTAATTGGATAGTTTTTTTTAAATTTTCATAAATGAATATGAAATACACCGGAGATATGCTCCTTTCAACAAGTATATTTAAACTCATACAAGATAATAGAAAAAAAATTTTACTCACCGAAATTAATTATCATCCAAATTGATTTCATTCTTATTTATATTTCACACGAGAATCACAAATTTTGTTTCAATATATATGATAAAAGCGCATAAACTGTAATGTTTTCTAAAACTTTTTTACAGATATGCAACAAATCATCGAATCGAAAATTTAAAACGTAATTATTTTTTCGTGATTTTTCTTTTAAAAGAGAATTGAATCTTTTGCCACTGTGAGATATGCCGCAATATAGATCATTTCATTTAAGAAACCTGATATCTATATGGTTATATTAGATTTCACTATTTCTGTTCAAAGTTCAACCAATTATGTTCAATGATTAAATGTTCAATACACTGTCAGTCACGTTGCTTTTGAAAATATATAGAGTAAAAAAAATAAGCGTTATTTTGGACGCGGTCGGCTATTCCCTTCAGAACGGAGGAAAGAAAAGTATCGACTATTCATTCCCATTATTATGACAGCAATTAGATAACTAACAAGTTCTCTATAGAAACATCGAAGACTTTGGCTGTCATATAAAATACCCCGTGGTATTTTAGTATATTTCACATTAAAAGGTATCGTTCGGGAGCATAATAGTTAAAGCACTTGACTGTGAATCGGTCGACTCGGGTTCGATTGCCGGACGGTGCAGGTCACTATCGTTATGATTGATCATGAAATCCTTTCTACGGTCATTCGCACTGTACCTCTGCTCTGGCATGTACAGAAGTAATCAGTTCCTGGCGAAAGTGAAGACAACTTGTATCGGTAAGCTGCCCGGCAGCATGGCCAGGAATGATGCGGTGTCTGAACTGTGCTCTGGTAAATCCAATGTGCCTTATAACCGTGATACCATCACAATTTATATGTCATAGAGTGAATACCAAAAGTAATGATATTTATAGCTCTAAGCCATGTGGGAAATATAGGAACTGATGTTCACGAGTGAAATATAGTTTAAATTATGAAGTTGAAAATATGAAAAAAAAAATACAGAATTATTTTTTCAAAAACATAAAATGCAAAAAATGTAGATTTGCTTCTCGCAATAAAGCACATTTTTATAACGAAAGAGTTTATTTCTGGCGATAATTTCACTTATTTATGTATTGTTTCAGCATGGCAGTCTTGTGTCAGTTGCAACTTGTTTGTATTATATAGGTGAAATAATAAACAACAAAAACCAGAGAGACTGTACATTTATGAATTCATCATATTTACGGAAATTTTATTGTGAATTATTTACTAGACGTATATTTAAAAGGATCCAAAGATCATGTTAAAGACATTCAAAATATATGAAAATGAGAGTTAAGACTTTTCATCTTGTTTCAGACCTTATCGAATTTTCAGACCATTTGTTCGTTAAGTAATCTATAATCAAACTGTCAATGCAGACACTTATATATCATATTTGTTATCGTATACATTCTAACTAATTGGTTTCATAATGATATAGTATATAGGTTTAGAAATGTTAACAGTTAAAAGAAAACAGGACATTTCGTAATTAACGTACTGACAGACGCATAAAGACAAATCACACCACATACGTTACATAAAGTTCAATAACTAGTATCTGAAATGAATGTTCCATTGTAATTAAACAGAAACAGGCGAGATTCAATCATGACCCCAAGTGCTTCCACAATTTAACAGTCTTACACGTTCATACAGAATATCAATTAACAATTTTTCTAAATCATTGATGATTGAAAATATTTGTTCAGTTTAAATGATTTAAAACGTTAAAGTTATTTTCATCTTGCAAGCCAATTAAAAATAATTGGAAAAGAAACCACGCTTCGACTGATTGTAATCAATAATGTGAATGAAAATTTCTTTTTTTTCTTTTATTATATATTTTACATGTTTATTTTAATTAGACCCGCGAGCTACTTTGTTATACCAGTCAAAAGAAATAATATCCTAATTTGTTCTACTCAAGTGCACAGAGGGGCACCTGAGCTCTCCCTCAAGCAATCACGCTGTCAAAAAGTCCCATATGACCACTAATGTCTTGGTTCGGCGTGAAACATTCTATTATTCTATTATGAAATACGTCCAAAATGTAACAATATAAATTTTGAACGTATTTCAATTTTCATTGATAGGTCTATTGTCATATTACTATTTGATGATTTGAGTTGATCAATTCTCTATGATCAAGCGGCTGGTTATGGACTCATACTGATGGATTTTCTATATTAACTCTAACTTACTAATAGAATATAATATCTATATTTGTCATTACATGTACCTTGATTTAATTCAGCTTAAAAGTCTAAAACAACGTGTATATCAATGATGACTTCGAATGCAATATAAGATAAGAAACAGTTACGCGTTAATTTTAGAGATTAATAATGTGTTTTTACCAGCCATAACAAAACAATATTGAATATTGATATAAATAACTAAAGAATAAAGTTGCCAGAAGTACGACTGCATGAGTAAGAAACGAATCACCTCGAAGCGTTATTATATCTTAACAACTATGTCGGGTAACCTAAGTTAAACTCTTTATATTTACACGTACGCGTACAATTATGTATGTGAAGATCGTACACAGCATTTAAAATGATAGAAACTATATAAAAATTAAATTAAAATGACAGAGTCGTCACTTCAAACTAACGTATGATTGATCGTTGAAATTGCCTAATTTGCTTGTTTAACTTAAAATTGATGCAAACATAGCAGGGCAAGATTGTTTAGGATAACAGTTACGAACAAAGTCTTAAATGATGATGGATGTAGTTGGAAAATCGGACATAAAATGCTTGATATGTAAAAAATACTTTTATTATTATATTTTTGTGACTGAGATTTGGAAAATAAAGTATGATGTTTCGCTATGTCAATACAATTTCCAAAGTTCTGCCACATATAGATGTTATCACAATGATTAATGATACCAATATTCTAATATACTCATATTTCTCACCAATTGTCTAATTTCAATAATATGGCAAGCAAAGTACTAGATTAAGTTGATTGTAACATTTTTATTTTACCTACGTATTACTTGTTTTGCAAGATTGTATATAATTTTCATATCTAGTTAATTTATCTATGGTGGTTAACGCTTTTTCTAACGAGAAGCACTTAAGCACATGTATCTAAATAATACGGACATAATTTAATAACGTAATTTTTTTGTTATAGCATGTCTCTTATACCATTTGAAAATATGACAGCTTAGGTGATTACACATTGTAACATACTGAACTGTATAACAAAACTATCGCTTTATTTTGCAAAACCTATTGTACAAATATAATTATCTGATTACAAAACTACTAACTATTCAACAGCACTGTCAATTACGACAATAAAATCAATGTTAATTTAGTAAAGTTCAATAAGTAGTTGGATATGTATTCAGGTGAAGATCACAAAAAGTGGGAAATGCGATTTACACAATGAATGAAGGGCCTAATATTTAGTTTGACTGTTGCAGGGTCGTGTGTGGCATTGAATACCGCTTTTCCTCGTTGATCTTGTTTATCATTTTTTACTATCTTGTGCAGAAGTTTTGATGTTCTTACAACTCATGCAAACAATTCATTAAAAATTTGATATATCTTTTTCATCAAGGTCATTGTTCTGTAAATTGTTAAGTATTGATAGATATAAGGCTAGGTAGTTACTCTTGTTACCTAGTGATATAGACATTGTTAAGAAGCATACTCTACAATTGAAAATTACTCGAAAGCGGTGGAAATTCATTTATCCGTGTACTCTTAAGGGACAGAAGTGTAAAGTCTCTCACATGCTCTGGCGCTCTTGTATGAATCAGTCAATCTCTGTTTTGAAAAACACTGTAATCATTTATCTCTCATGCACGATTGAATCCCATTAAGAAAAATGTGAAAAGGTATTTCTCACTTTAAATACCATTAACTAGGTCTATATCGATCATTTGATCATTCTAAAAAGGAACTGATTGTCATACCTGGCCATAGATCAATTAACTATCAACTGTTGTGAACTATAAATTAATATTTAAAGAATTTATTCATGTCATGAAAGAAAACATCTCAACCGTAATCACTATTAAAATAGAACGATTACATACATTTATAGTGAAAATGAGTAATAAGTTAAACTCCTTATTTGTTGCATCGAATATTGTTAAATATCGCACCGATTGACTGTTTTATAAAAACAATACAGCGTATATATTTAACATATAATGTCTTACCTTAGCACCTATATATATCTAAGGTTCAATTTATTATTTAAGTGTAAAAGTGACGTCGTAAAATACTCACAACAACTGCATCAATAATATAAACAAATGTGTTGTAAATTAGCCAATGTATACAAGGTAGAGTTTTAATGTTTCAACATTTGCTTTTGACTAAACAGTTGTCAAAAAAGTTGCGGCATGGCCGAGTGGTTAACGCGACGGACTAGTATTCTAATGATCGCTAGCCGCATGGGTTCAAACCCCGTCAGGGGCCAGTCGGTGTTTCCTTGAGCACTTGAGTACTTTACACTCATTGCTCAGTACCGTTTGGTTCCAGGAACGGATTCGAAAACGTGTCTATTAGCTTAAAACTTCCTAAACAATCGAACTAAAATAAATTCTGCAAAAAAAAATTATAAATAAATAAATAAATAAAAAAAAAGAAGTAAAATATCAATATCACAACTTTCATGATTTACCTTTATTTCTTTTGACCAATATACTTTGTTTCATGTGTTAAAACACAAGATGCAAATGAAAAGAAAATGACCGTTCAAGACTCTTAAATGTATGTTTTAAATTTTCCTTGACATCAACAACGTTATGTAAATATGGACTTTGTATACTAAGTTTAGTCTTTTATTCAAATAGTAACTCGATTGTTATCATGATTGTGCTGCTTTAAAAACGACTCAAATTACCTCCTTTTAATTTGGTCTGTAAAGAATACATAATTATGTAAATGATAGACATAAATCATATAAATGTTCAATATATAAAAAACTATTGTTCTCAGTTAAACTTTCAACTATTGAACTTCTACATATAGTATCTAATACCGTTATAAATGAGTTCACTCATTCTGAATTTATTTGTTTATGACATATAATTCAATTAAGACTTCTGCATTTGTATTAAGGAAATTAAAGAATACAGATGCATAAACATGCAATATATTGTTAAAATCATTTCATTAGGATATATGACTCTATTTTTTCTTTCATCATTCCTTAGCTTAACCACATATACCATAAGCCAGATAATATAACCCGTTTACCTAAATAAAATATTTTTAAAATGATACATGAATTTCTTGTTTCCAAAATAAATCATACATTAGGGATACAATGCAGATAATGAAAGTAATCGCTGCACATTCCTTTAACTACAACTGCCAATGTCACAATAATCAATGCGCAATATATATTAAATTGTCTATGGTGAATAAAAGGAAATTGTCGTATAAATATACACTTATCAATACATCAAAACAAAATCTTCAAATATTTCGATTCATTTCGTGACATTGTTTTACATAGAATTCGTTATTTTAAGAAGTTAAGTTTTGAAATGTGATATTCATCTATTTATATCTACTGTCAGACGTTTTCCAGTACGTATGTTTTTACTTGTTGCGAATCAATTTCTTTTGATAAATATATCGAAAACTAATCACTAGTAATATGAATATTTGATAATGCAAGTGATGTATTCATAATAACATTACTTTGGTATGAATGAAAACATATTAAATGCAATTGCATATGAAAATGTCACGAGACACATGCCGAAACAA